CTCTTCTTTCTTGCTGCTCTTTTTCTTCGAACTAGCAGGGCTAGTGCTAGCGCTTGCTTCTTAGCACGGGTCAGATACATATTTGCTGCTGACCAAAAGCTGGAACAACAAACAAATGACAAGACCCGGCAACCCAGCCGGCGCAGCGCAAATGCGCTGAACCCCGCGGCCAGCGCAGCGCAAATCGCTTCCTATCTGAAAGGCCCATTAGTGTTCAGTGTTGTATCTTTGGTCAATTTACTGATAAAAGGAACAAAAAAAGTGGAAAACACAGAAATAAAACAGAATTAACCTTTAGGGCAGCATGATTTAATCAAGAAGCCTCTTTATGCAACTAGAATAAGGTTTGGGTTCAGAAACTCATGAAGCCATGGAATGTGGTTTGGCCCCTTCTAGGTTTTATCGCCCCTTTGGCAAGAAACCAAGGTGTTTTTACTGAGTGCTATTTAGTTTGATGAACAGACAGGTGTTCAATCTTTAGACTGATTCTGTTTTTTTTGTTAAACAAAATGTAAGTATGATACAACTTTAAATAACAGAGAATATTATATTTTACCCAAGATGGCGACGACCACATCTCCTCTCAGGATCTCTATGGATCCCCTGGATATGAAGTAGAGGGCGGTGAGGACGTCCCCGGCGTGGACCAGGGTGTCACCGGGGGGTGCGTGGGTGGTCTTGAACTTCATGGCCAGCGCCCTGAGGCAGCCCTTGGTGGAGCCTTTAAAGGCCTTACAGTTCTGCAGCAGCGTTCGGTTCAGGTGGAGGCAGATATCTGCCTGGAGACATTCAGGGAACCCTTTGAGCACCTGGAGGTGGGGAGGAGAGAACGATGCACAAAGACAGGGAGAGGAGTGGGTGAATTAAAGAGGGAGGATAACAAAGACAGAAAAAGCAATCTTCTCATTGAATTTCAGTTAGAATTAGCAACATGATGTTTATTTGCTAAATGTCAGAATAATGAGAAACATAAATAGTTTTTGTCACACTAGATATATCTTTTAATATCGGTTTGCATCCATGGGTAACTTCCTGGTTGTTGGTTTAGAATATGGCTTAGTGTTAGAAATATTTTATTTATACTCCGTTTGTGTTTCATGGGTTGTGTTCTAATGAACTTCTATGATGTTTAATGTGTGATTCATCTTTTATTAACTTTTGCTAAAGATCGTTCCAGATAAAGGTCATGCAACG